GTAAATAATAACCCGTGAGATCTCAGAGAGGATAAATGTACCGAATTCAGCTGTTCATGACCACTTGAAAAACCCACGTTTAACCTCAAGTCTGTACATATGGGTTCCTCATGCTCTCTCGGAAAAAAATTTGCTTCATTGCATTGACGTCTGTGATATGCTTCTCAAACGTCAAGAAGAGAATCCATTTTTGTAGCGCATCAACACTGAGCACGAGAAATGGGTTGTCTGTAACAATGTCAATCACAAGGGATCATGGAGTAAAAAAGATGAACCAGCTCAAAGCATTTCAAAAGCCAATATTCATCAAAAAAGATGATGCCCTTGGTTTGGTGGGATTTCAAAAAGAAGTTGTTCTTTTTTAACTTTAACCGGACGACACGACGATTAATTATGAAATGTACTGTCATCAGCTAGAAAAACTGAATGATTCACTTAAATAGAAAAAGTCATAATTGATCAACAGAAAAGATGTAGTGTTCCACCAAGATAATGCGAGACATGATTGGGAGCATTACGTATCTATTCGGACGATGAGGTGAAGGAAGCTATGCAGGACTTCCTCAAGAATCAACCACAAACTTTCTACTAAGTGGGAAAATATGGACCTACTGTCCAAACAATGGGACCTGTGTTACAAAACCCAAAGCAATATATTTTAAATTTCAATAAAGGTATACTTTTTATTCAACTTGTCAACTTTACATTTAGGCAACCCTTATAAATAAGTCTCAAACACTCATTAACTACTATTATTTATTTATCTTATCCCTACATAACTTTGTATTCCATTTTATAAACAATCCAATTGCCTGAAACATAGAAAAACAGAAATGTAAGCACAAAACATTCTAAGAAATTATTTTGTTATCATCGTTTTAATGTATATGAATATTAAGATATGAAAATGATACTTTTATATGAGAAAATTGAAATAAATCGCTTATCTATACATGTTATCAATTATTTTTCAATAGTCTTTCTTTAGTGTTGTTGCATAGGTTTATTTTTTACCACGTTTGTTTTAAAATAAAAGGGGCAACTTAGTTAAAAATACTTTAATATTTTTCTTCAGACACCTTCCATATTGCTAAATGAACATGAGAGAGTAAATATATTTATACTTACAAAATGTACATATTATACAGTCAACCCTCTTTATAATACAGATCTCATTATCCAGAACCGGAGAGTCATTAAAATAGTTCGAATTAAGAAAAGTAAATAAAAAGCTCAGACAGGTTTTAAGTAGTTTTTTTCCTTACCCTTCTTAATGTATAAGTAAGTAAGCAATTCATCAATTCGATTTCTTTTTGTAATTGTTTGTAATCAGGGTAGCTAATCATTACGGTGTAGAGTGGAAGATTAAAGAGTGGGGAGACTTGGCACGGGCTTGAGGCTGAATTGTCATTGCCGTTGAAGACCTGCTTTGTAGACGGGGACGCTGATGTTAAATTTGTTAAGGCTAAAACATCCTCATTTTGATGTGGTGTAAAAGTTTTGAGAGGAGGTTACGAGCTCAGGTGTCATCTATGTCTCTTAAAAGTGGTGGTTCAAAATTACGAGGTCCGATGCCAATAGCTCTCATGTAGTTTTATGGTGCACTACGTTAATATGCGTCGGGTGAGCGGGGTGCTAGATCAGGGTGTCCTCATTTTTTGGAAATGGTTTAAAAAAAACGAGGTCCGTCGCCAATATCCTACGCGCTGCTTTACTTTGTAAAATCAATCAACCCTGCATGAAGCTAATTTACAAGTTCCATTCTTATGGTATTGATAACTTCCTTTATTTGAAAAAAAATACACACTTAATTTTTCATTTCTTCAGCACTAAGTTGTTTACCAAATATGTGTTTGTCCAAAGATTAAAATAGGGAATAATCTGATGGAGATAAGCCAATGGAATAAGGAGGATTTGGTAAGGGAGAATCTCACTAAAAACCTAATTTTTTTTCTGGCGTCTAGTGTAACGTGTGGCCATGCATTTCGCATTTACGTTTTATTTTACAATTTTTGGATCAATAAATGTGATAGTCTATCTGACTCAGTGTCATCTAGAGACATCGTTCCAGCAGGAATTTTTTTAGCCAGCTGCGGGCCATTTTTGTTATAACCGCACTTCTTCGAATGCAGTACATTTCGTGTAGCTTCTGCTGTGTTAGTTGGGAATTTGTTGTTGTTGTTACTAGCGCCACCTGATCGCCAAATGTCAGAATCTGACCCACGAAATTCATCATATCATGGCAAAGGGCAAAGTGACGGCTGTTGTTAACCATAGCTTTCACCATTCAGTCGACAGTACGATTCTTTCTTTTTTTCAAATCCTACTATTAGCTCTCTCTCTCTTTCTCTCTCTCTCTCTCTCTCTCTCTCTCTCTCTCTATATATATATATATATATATATCTTGTTCAAATTTTCAATCGCTAATAAAATACTTTCTATTCATCCAATCAAGTTCAAATAATTTTTTTTAACTTGTAGTGGATGACACATGATGTTAATACAATTTTTAAAAATATTAAACCATTAATTAATATAAATTTAACTAATTACCGGTTTTCGACACCAACTTAGATTCTTCTCCATTGTTGTATGTAATTGTTAAAACAATGACAAAAGTTGGTGTTGAAAACCAATTTTTCAGCCAAACTAGCCAAACCGAGTGTGCATTGTTACAACAATGCAGACGAATCATGCCCTTTTTCAATTCCTACTATTAGTTCTCACTCTCTCTCCCTATATATATATATATATATATATATATATATATATATATATATATATATATATATATATATACTTATATATATATATACTTTTATATATATATATATACTTTTACATATATATATACTTTTATATATATATATATACTTATATATATAGATACTTATATATACATCGTTCAAATTTTCAATCGTTAATAAAATACTTTCTATTCATCCATTTAAAGTAGGAATTGACTTACAAATTTTTTTTATATTACTTGTTTCCTGTTTAGGTGTTATTAAGAATTCAATAATTATAAAAAAGGAAAAATCAACTCCTTAGTGTTTCAATCAAGAGAATCATTAGAGAAGTCGCAGTAAATACTAAAAATAGAAAGTAACTTAAACTTCAGAAATATAAAAAAAAATTATTAATGGATTAATTTATAAAAAGGGAAAAAAAGTATAATGCAAATTTAGTCAATGAAGTAAGGGATCTAGCAACATTAAAAAAATGATTTCCTTAAGTGTTTTGGAAGATGATTACATTGAATTAAGATCTTCAAAGAAACACACTCAATACTTTCATTACTTAAAATCATCATCAAGAATCAGATGGAAGTCTAAAAAATATCTCAAACTTACCCATGAAAGTTTCAGAGCTGAATAATTCATCGTCTATTAGTACAGAGTGACAAGCAGTAAATGACCGATCCTAAGTTTTTGTTTCAAATAAATCCAAAAACTAAACATGGGAACCGGTTTATCTGAGACTACGTTAGATAGGGAGACATTTTAAATCGTTTCTACCTTTACGTTGATCCTTTTTTACACAATGATGAAAAGGGTTTTAATTTCGCCATTGTTGAGCACGTTAAATAAAAACATAACTTCAAATGCATATCATTAAATATAAATTTATAAAACTTGTATAATCTACAAACACAATAAGGATTTAATTACAGTCAACACGCGATTTAAGAAGACAAAATTCATCTTTAAAAAATCAGAATAAAATAATGTTGAAATGAATATATAACACTAGAGAGTAGAATATAGATTTTTTTAAACAAAAAGTTGCATTTTATACGTAAAATTTTTTCCGAAATGAATCTTTTCTGGAAAAATAAAAATAATTTGAAAATTGATAATTAAAAACTATTCGTGAGTTCGATTTTTACAAATTCCTACTATTAGTTCACTCTCTCCCTATATATATATATATATATATATATATATATATATATATATATATATATATATATATATCTTGTTCAAATTTTCAATCGTTAATAAAATACATTCTTTCATCGATTCAAGTTCAAATAAATTTTTTTAAACTTGCAGTGGATGACACTTGATGTTAATACAAATTTTTAAAATATTAATTCACATTCATTAAATTAAAAAAGGAATAAATAGTAACAAGCAAAAATAATAGTTCGACAGAATATATATAATGAAAAATCGTTCGTTGTGTTCCTGTAGCGCAATGGATAAAGCGTTGTATTTCTAATCCGAAGATCTTTATTTCGAATCCCACCTGGGATGGTCTAATTTCTGAGAATGTCATTTAATTTTTACTATACAATTGACTCAACTAGACTCAACTAGAACTTTGAAATATATAACTTAGAAGTTGGTTTATCCATGTTTTACGACAAGAGAGGGGAGAAATTTTAAGAAAAAAACGCCGATAATTATTTCAGTTGCTTGTAATTCTAAAAATAATGTGAAATTTTCAAAAGAAAAATAGTTTAGACTCTTTGGAGGAAGTCCTTACTTTATATAAGCAAAATATTATTATTTTAGAAGCATTTTCTTATAAAAGGAGAACATTTCGAAAAAGTATATTCTAAGTTAATTTTTTGCCAAAATATTGTATTTAAATAAATTTTTTTGTCAAAATGTCCTTAAAGCAATCTTATACATGTATTCTAATCTAAGTGACACTAAATATCATGAAAATTATCCATTTATGCGCTTTTTTAAAATCACGTTTTCGAACGTAGTTGGATACCTTAAACTAAACTAAAATCAATAGCGCAACAGTATAGTTATCCGCCCCCAACGTACAGTTATTATACCCGCCCTTGGTGGCCCAACTCACAGTTTGAGAAACGCTGGTGTAATGTTATGTTAGATTTTCAAAAAGATGTTTTATGATCCTCACTGTGAAAAACCTATATGGCAATGGTAGTCATAAAGAGTTGCAAAGTAATAAAAATGGACTGAAATGTAAATAATTAGCAGACCTAAGGAAAAACATCTGTTGATACAAGAAAATCAGCATATATGTTCTACGACCAAAGAGACTCCTGCATGGTCAGGATTCCTGGCTCTCACCCAGGAGGCCCGAGTTCGATTCCCGGTGGCAGATGGTTTATTTTTAGGCCGTGGGTAGCCTAGTGGTTAGATTGATTCATTGATTGAATATTAACGTCGCACTGTTCAGCTACACGTGAGCTTTTGACGACGGACCACGTAATTTTGAACCACGGTCAAATGACGCGGACGACACCTGAGCTGGCAGCCCCCTCTCATAATTACCACACCACACCAACGCGAGGACGTTTCAGCTCTCGACAGATACAACGTGCATCGCTGCCCTACACGGCGGGTCTTTAGAGGTACTGGGCTCGAACCCGTGACAAGGCAAGCCACGATCCGATACCTATACCACTCGGCTACCGCGGCCACACCTAGTGGTTAGAGCAGTGTTTCTCAAACTTTCAATACTGGCGACCCAATTTTCAATCATAATTTTTGTCGCCCCCTGTACAACAATAATGTATTTACTGCAATAAAAATGCACTTTGAGAGAGAGACGTTAAAGTTACAATACGATCTTACTTATAAATCGTACAAATTAATACGACAAGTATATTAAATTTTGTGTATATGTAACTTTTAAGTAATATATATTTTAAGAAAATTACTTAAAATATATATTACTTAGAATTATGTTATTTTCTTTCTCTAATTTTTAAATTGGAACAGATCGCAAAATGATACATTTAATTAAAGATTTATTTCCTTTGGCATTCATTTCTCAAATGTCATTAGAAAAATAGTCTAGTCAATGTTGCTCTCTATCATACCCATCACATATGGCATTATAGGGTACGTTTGCGTGAGTCTGGGCAACCTATCGGACGTCTGCGCAAAACATGTAAAAATGCTTTTGCTCGTACAATTCCAGTCAGTTAAGGTCGACTCGATACTCCTATAGCTACCGAATCTAGCTTGAATGTACATTTTTTTAAATTTACACGCTAATTGTAATTCACGGTAATTAAGTATTTACGGCAGTAGATTAAAACAAAATCATACATACATTTTTAAGTCGTAAGCAAACATTCGATGATAATAAAGAATCAACAAGTACACAGACGAACGAGCATGGTTCCGAAAATTAAATCAAGGTGATATTCTCAAAAATACTTAAATTTTGGATTTACAACTACTGAAGTAAATAAAGGGGAAAAAAAGCCCCAGCTCGATATGTGTTAAAACTTACAAATCTGTAGAACAATATGTGAAAGTTGTTTTTAAAACATGTAAAATCATTTAGCTATGTTGGCAAAGAATTTTAAAAAGTATTTTCTGGATGAGGACAACTTGGTAGCAAGTTACGAGTGGATTAGGGATCTATTTCAAGATATTCCAGAAGGGCTCTCAACTTCCGAAGAATTATTTATAAACTACCTTCTTCAGTACTGAAACATTAAACCTATACTGCCTGAAACACCGACTCTTCGCACGAGTTCATTTTTAAAAATAAAACATTATTCTTGATATAATAGCTGAACTGTAAGGAGAGTAAAACTGCGTGCACTACATTGTATACAAAATGTAAAATGATTTTTTTTTAATAGATAAATGCTATAATTGTAAATAACTGTTTAAAAGAACTGTAATTTTAAAGCCTCACACAATTGGCATTTAGAATTAATGTTAAATTATGAAAAGAATATAAAATTCCGATGAAAATAATTGTGTTACTTTTTAACATTTAAAGCGAGAAGACTTCAAAATGTTTTAACCCGGGAGCAGGCGCGTACTCGATACTAACATTAATGGTAGTGCGGGGACTCAGTCACCCCAATCATTTGTTTAGAATTATTTTTTACTGTACACGATGCAAATCGAATTCTAGTGAATATTTTAATTTATAGAAAGTATACTTTACCTTCTTTCAAGGACTATTCAATTCTTTGATGATTTGAGAAAAAACCAATAAAAACTGAACTAAAAGGATTCAAAAGTACATAATAAAGGACGCAAATCAGAGACACTTTCACTGATATTACAGAAATGTTAAATCAATCAATTCTTTTCCAAATATCGTAAAACTCTATTATTTACAATTTCCTAAGCGAAAAGCAAACGCATAAAAGATGGGAGGGAACTAATATTGATAATAACCATACCATAAGATTGAAGGTCAATCAAATGATTAGCAAACGTACTATGCAGCCTGGCTGAAAACTGAATCATGACTTCCTTTTCTTTTCTACAACTAATGTACAGAATTTCAATATCAATTACAGTGATGAATTGTTTATCTTCTTAGAATTTTTCAAGGTCTGGGTTTCGTTTTTCTTTTAACAAGTATTATTTTATGTTAAAACGTAATAAAAAAATCTCTCATTGAGGAAATACATTAAATTAAACAAAATGTTTTTTTTTCTTCTTTAATTTGGTTTTGGGATCAAAGATAGCTATTTGATGACGGAAAAGAGCCAGATAATAAACATAATATGTCAGTGTTGTTGTGTGTACTTTTTTTATTATGGAAGAAAGCATTTTGTTTTACTTCTCTTTCCGGTTATTTTTTTTAAAAAATCTTTAAATTTTCGATATGCTCGCACCCCCCTTGTAGGGTCATCGCCCCCCCAGGGGGGTGCGCCCCACACTTCGAGAAACACTGGGTTAGAGCATCGGACTCCAGACCGGAAGGCCTGGGTTCGATGCCCGATGCCACCAATTACCCTCCGAGTACACACGGAGTACGTGCTCGTTAAATCAGTAGGTCCGAAAGTTGTGTGGGTTGATTCACGAGTGAAGGGGACTGGAGAATATTTCCTCCCCTTCAGTTCCATGCCAAAATTGTGGGGATGGAGATAGGTGGTGTCACCATCTATCGTCCCTTCGGGGAATTTCGCCGAGCTATTCGTACTGTCACCTGTATGGGGATCAAGGCCAACGACAGGCGTACTTCTAGCCCCTTGCCAAGATGAATTTCGTGGGCCTCGATCTGACTACGTCAAACAGGGTTTATTAGACTCAACACAACAACTTAACCTAAGAAATCGAAGGAATAAAAAGATGAGGATACGTCTACTTTGGGAAGCAGCAGTTGGGCATTTATTTGATGGAGACGGCAGTAATGCAGGAGAAAGCAGCAGCTATGATACAAATACAACGGTGATTTTTATTACTTAGAACATCTTCCTCATACAGAAGAAAAGTATGAATACAAAGCTATGTCAAACGTGTAGAAAGCAGAAAAAAAAGAAAAAGGAAACTAGGTATTTTTGCCCAGTGTGTCTAAACAACTCATTACTTTGCGTTGATCAGGTCTTTAAAGCTCCTCCTATACAACAGTGATTCCCTAAGTGGGCTCCACGTCAGCAAAAAAATAATTGGGGGGGTCCATGAGTTGTAAATGGGGGTTTACGATAGTGGCTCTTGTTAAACCACATTGTGACTATAATTTTAAAAGGAAATTTATAATCAATAGGGGGAAACCACAGACTTACTTATTTAACCGATTTATTTACTATATTTAATGAGGTTAATTTGCAGTTACAAGGTGACAGCATAAATTTTTTTAAAACGAGGACCACATTTCAGCGCTTCTTGCTAGAATTAAGCTAGATAGTACATTATAGGACGTAAAAAAATTTCTCTGTTTCTCAACTACCACAAACAATCTGCCAGGAAAAAGACGTTTAAACTTATGTTCAGCTTTTAAATGCCTCTATTTTTAGATTTTGAAACTAGTTTTGAGAATGCTTTGACTATGGTAATACCACAGTAGGCAATCTATTCATATGGTCACATTGAAAAAAATAAGTGTCAGATTACAAGAATTAGGCACTAACGAAGATTTTAAAGTAAAGTTTATAAATGGTTGTCTGCAACTTTGGCTTTAAAAAGGATACACCTGTTGTTTATCCACTGGCGTAGCTCCCTTTCACATTTTATGGTTTTTGTTAATGGCATTTTGTAGCCCCTGAAGCCTGGGAGCCCCGTATCATTGATACGGCTGATACGGCGGTAGCTATGCCCCTGTATTTATTCTAAATTATGGAATGTCCCGAGAAAATTTTTAATTGTTTTTCCGATTAAGAAGGATATTCAGAGCGTTTGTCAATCCCCAAAACAGAAAAAAAGAAAAGACTGGACACTATTAACCGAGGAGACATGTAGGGTCACACCTGACAAGATTGATTCCAAATGTTGAAAATTTGTTAATGTGCATTTCCGGATTCATCCCTCCCACTAAAAGCATTGGTTTGTCGGTCAGTTATTTTATGTAACAGTTATTTAATGTAATAATAAAATTTTAATTAAATTAATTAACATGCGTTTTCTTAAGTTTTAAGCACCTGAACTATATACTGCACTGTTTCCATAGTTAAAAACTTAAATCTTTTAAAGTAATTAGCTGTATTCAGCTGTCAAAAACAGTTATTGAATTGGCAAAAAATTAACTTTAGGTAAGTAAGGGTCTACCCAAAACCGAAAAACCTGGAAAGGGGTCTATGAGGCAAAAAAGTTTGAGAAACTCTGCTATACAGTAACAACAATAAAATATATTTTTTTAATTTTTGGAATGCAGTTATATATATGTAATTATTACGTTGTAATCTAATCATCTAAGTTATAGTTTTAATAATAAAAAAATTGATAATTAAATTTTTCATTCATCCTTTCTAATAATTCCTGACTCAAAGGGAGATGTGTAATCAACCTAAAATTTCAACATACACTACGAGATACCTTGTAGCCGGCAGTTTTAATACAAGGCTTACTACAGGCTTACTGTCAATGGTGTGACATCGTCGATTGTTGTGAATCCCCATCTTTCGATTCACGATAAGTTTTATAGTTTCACCAGCTGTTAAGGGACAAGTACGACGTCTACGATTGTTGTGAACTCACACCCATCGATTGTCCCTGAATCTCTAAGATCCACAGCTGTAAAATGACCAGTGCACGTGGCCATGGGGCCACTGTTTATTGTCTGAACTCGGGGAGTGATGACAGCCAGACGGGTCGCCATTATGGTAAAGGAGAGCCGGTGCCCCATTGACAATAGGCGAAGCTTGTCTTAAAATAATCATGTCGTCTTTTCTGGTGTTGATAGGA